ATTATTAATACATACGCACAGGTGAATTGGACGCCATTTGGATTGAATGTGTCACGTGAAGTTGAAAAGACGGTTCATCACGGGACTATTCGATGGATGGATACGGTCGAGCCTTACATGCCCGATAGACTTTGCGTCAGTTCGGGTTTCGGCAGATTAAACCGGCGGACCCTATTCGTCCGCTAAAAGGTGCTAAGAGGGAGAGAAAATTAGCATCATACAAAATTAGCTACGAGCCTAGCGATCAGATATGGAATATCCCCAACACGCACATGCTTAGTCAAGATTATTATGGTCATTGGGCGCGTCCGGCTTGGGAGTCGTCACCGGAGTATTTGCCGTGGTATCTCGACCACACCCACGTCCGTATACATCATAGTACCGAGCCGGTTGAGAGAGCGGAGCCATCTGCTGTTTCGTTTTTGTACGACATCACCCGAGTGTTGCATCCCTACTTCTATGATAACTTGCCTCCGCCGACTATTCCAGGATATCGACAGATTCCGGATGACTTTTTAAGGATGATCCAGGACATGTGCGCCCCATTCGCTGAGTATCTACAGTTGGACCGTCCTGATGCTTCTGACGAGCAGGGCGCAGGATACTCACAGATGCGACATTCTCAACGCAGGCGTCGGACGAGAGATACGTAGGTGTTTTTTTTTTTTATTATTCGAACTTGTTTGGTGTTGATGTTTTTGGGTAATTTGGACTTGTTGATGTTTTTTGTTTTGATTTGCACTTGTTGATGTTTTGTGTTTTTGATTTGGACTTGTTGATGTTTTGTGTTTTTTGATTTTGACTTGTTGATGTTTTGTGTTTTTGATTTGGACTTTTTGATGTTTTGTGTTTTTTATTTGGACTTGTTGAAGTTTTGTGTTTTAATTTAAGCTTGTTCATGTTTTTTGTTTTTTGTTAAAATAATAACAACAACAACAACAACAACAACAACAGCAACAACAGCAACAGCAACAACAGCAACAGCAACAGCAACAGCAACAACAACAACAGCAACAACAACAACAACAACAACAACAACAGCAACAACATCAACAACAACAGCAACAACAGCAACAACAGCAACAACAACAACAACAACAACAACAACAACAACAACAACAACAACAAAACTAAATCAAACACTAGTTAGAATATCCCACGCTTCACGTCGATCCCGCAACACCTCTGGCAAATATGCAACACTACTATGGTTGTATCTCACCCACTGCAAGTTAAACAGAGGAAGCGGACAGTTGTCATTCAGCTTCAGATACACAAAGTGGCTTCCTGCTTCAAGAAATAGTATAGCCATCTGGTAAGATAACTGTGAAACACCTTCGGGAGCCCAAAGTGGCAAATAAGTCTGATTTCCTGAACTGCTAGCCGACAAGACCAACGCGTTGTAATATGTTGCTACAACCACGCCCACGTCCGTGATCGTCATCCACTTTTGCAGAGGTGCTGGGGTGTTATCCCAATAGGCGACACTCGCCAACACCCGATACACTGAATTACCACCACCGAAATAATCATTGAAGAACAACTCGTGTCTTCTAATACAGTTATACACATCCAATCTAACCTCCATCCAATCATCCTCATTGTTCTTGACTGCACACGCCACGCTCCGATAACCACAATTACCATCCCCTTGAACATCCGTCCACGTCACAACCTCCGGAATGAGGCAAAAATGAAGCTCTCGCAACCAACCAGGTCGGGGCATTCATCTCATTTCGGGTCCACTCACAGTCGATGAACGACCACGGCCACAGCTAGATCTCTCAGAAGATGAACCACGGCCTCTGTTGCCTCTTGATCGTCCTCGTCCTCGTCCTCGTCTAGAATTTTATTCGCCCGGGTATAATGGAAACTCATGCCCTGACTCATCCCTCTGTGTGGAGTTGTTCCGCGGTCTACCTCTCGAGCGGTCTAGTACTGGTGGCTCATTTATTTTCGTTGCCCCAGGATGCATTCGTTCAAAAACGACATCTGCCACGTCCGTGATCTCAATTTCTGAACGTTGACGCAACTCATCAATTAACCCTTCTAGCATGCCAATAGCCTGTGACCTGTGATCGGGAACGGAACCAACACTTTCTTCTTGGCCTGCCCCGAAGCCCGAAACCCATGTCCTCCAAAAAATGTGGACATCCTCCGCGTAAAACAAACCACGTCGTGCATTCACATTTGCATCAATTTCATGTTTGCATGGGAGGCCAAGACATTTTCTCATGTAACATACGCAACTGTCTATATCTTCATTCTTCTCATCGTCCAACATCTTCAGTGCGGAATGTGTTACAATTCCACTGGACAATATTTTAAATACGGGCACATTAATCGTCTGGGCCCGAATCCTCCTTGAATTCGCAAATTCGGCCAGAATCTCGTTAAGTTGATCTTCGATCTGTGTGTGATATTGTGCCCAAAATGTGTCAAAGCCACCTGTGGATGCATCCAACCATCTCTTCAATGCTCTATGGTTGCTCTCCACCCTAATATGATTAAAGTAGGTTTCGTTTCAGTAAACAACATGACAGTAAGTTAAGTATATGTACTTAACCACTTATAAATAAATACCTGCTTGTCGATGTATTGCCCAGATGAAAAACTAGATCCGTCCATGATTTTACAAATTTCTCTTTGTAAATCAGCCAAGTGTCTTGGAGGTACTCAATCAACTGTGGATGATTCGCGTACTCGTCCACCAAAGTTCTGTAATTCCGGCCGAAATCTTCTTCACACACTGATGTTACCAAATTTTGCCACAGACCAAGTACAAAAGAAACCCCTCGATGCCTACTATTGCCGAAACATCTTGAAGCACGACACCCCACATTCATGTTAATGTGCCAAAGACATAAGAGATGAGGCACAGTCGGAAATACATTCTCTATCGCCTTTAAGAGCCCTAACTCGTGATCAGTCACGAGTGCACTAGGTAGAGTATGTGGGGGGAAAAGTCTCTTCAGCCTTTGCCACACCCATGTATAATGGTCTTCATTTTCATGGCGCAAAAATGCCACTCCAACAGTAATTTTTTTTCCGACAGGAGTAACACCAACAATCTCCAACAAAGGCAATTTGTACTGATTGGTTTTGTAAATACTGTCAAGTAGTATAACGTACGGAAACTTACTTAACAATTCGACAGATAGAGGGTGAGCCCACATCAAATCAATAACTTCATGTGTTGTTTCATCAGTACGGAACCACTTGTAATAGTTATGCTGCTCAAGCAACCCAATCAAATGTTGCATCACTGTACGGTCACCCCTAGCTAATCTTCTCAATTTCGCCTTTTCATTGTATATTTGTTTCGAATAAGCATCGAGACCCAAGCCATTTTGTCTCAAGTTAGCCAAAATCTTCTTAGGCGGCACATGACTTTGTGAAAGATCCCTGATAATCTTCACCTCCGCTTCATTCAATGCACTCATCCCATGCCCAGACATGTATATCGGAAAATGACTATGCTTCCCATATATTATTCTAAGCCCCCATCTATCGTCCAACCGCCGCTCTTCGACAATTTGAAAACCACAGTTTATTTTTTTGCTATCAGACCTTCTCGAGGCCGCCTCTGGGTTAGTTGATTGTGTTTCTCGGGGCCCCCCAAAAAGGTCACAAGTCAGACACACTTTCTTTGTTTTGGGGGCACTTTTTCTAATTAATTTGACGAAAAAACCTCTTGCAACGAACCTCGCCCAAGCCACTAACTCGTCCCCCGAGTCAAACAATTGAGTTGTTGTCAAATAATCGGTATGATCAACTTCAATTGTAGACGTATTGTCCAGAAAAAAAACGTCAAAAATTTATTATAAAAAAAAAAACAAAATTGAACTGGACGCCCAACTCGGGCGCCCATTCATGCAGTGCACGCCCAAGTTGGGCGTTTACACGATTTGCCCAGTTTTTTGGATTGAGAAGACGGAATTTTTACCTCGTTATGTCCGGTATCACGATCTTCATCCGATGAGCTCATTTGTGTTCGTATATCACACCAATAAGAATGATTTTTAAGCAAATTCCCTTCAAAAGCTTCTTTTTCTAGAGAGAGTGTATATTTTAATATTAAACCGCAAATAGCAATTTCGCAACCGCAAAAAGCAACTCCCATGTAAAATCGCTGAGGTAACAGTAACTTCTCGGAACACTAGAGTGATTTTGCTTTAGAATGGCGGTGGAGATAACAAGAAATTTACAGTCCAAAACTACGGCGGAGATGACAGTATTTTTTTATACCCAGAGTGATTTTGCTTCCGTTTCTAGTGAGGGTAGTGATTTAGTGAAGAAAAACCGGCATAATTTTTGAAAGAGATGGGGAGCAGTTGGTAGTTTAGGGAGAGAAACTAAATGGAGAGGTAAAGCAGTTAGGAAAGAGTGGAAGAGATCTGCATAATTTTAGTATTTAACTGAGGATATTTTCAAAAAATCACAAACAGCAGGGTTTTTTGTACGATTGAATTTGATCTAAATAGAAGTGCAAATTAGTTTTCCTCCGTCGTCGTATATGCAATTCGCCAGATAACTAAGACCCCGTTTGGTTGGGGAGATTATCCATGATTAACTAAATAGTTGGACTTTGTCTGATGTTTGGTATCCCCAATAACTTACTGGGTCGAGCCGCAAATATTATCTTATCATGGTTTATTTTGCCTTTTAAGCGTATTTTTTGTTGAACCTTCCAAGGTGCAATAAAACAATTGAGTTTCATTAGACTATTTGATCTTATCTTGGCAATCAAAGAAGGCCTAAATCTCAAATTTTATTTATTACTTAAAATAGTAGGAACCACAACCGTCGTCGTATATGTAATTCTCCCTATAACTAAATCTCAAATTTTATTTATTACTTAAAATGGTAGGAACCACAAAAGACACATTTATTGCTTGCTAGTAAATTAGAAATAAGAAAATATGTTTAGGCTGCTACCTCCCAGCGTTGAAGTCCTGGAAACAAATTATGTTAAAACAAAGACAATTCCAGATAGCATAAAAGTTGGGAAGAAAACCGGACACACTCTTTAAATACCCATTAAAAAATTTATGACAACCAGTAAAATTTATGGACTACCAATTTATAAGAATAAATATTCAACAACAACCAATTTGAGATGATTAATTATAATCAATTCAATCACTCTTATATATTTAAGTTAGAAGATAGAGCGGAAATCTGGAAAAAACGGGGAGCTCTATGCAAACATTTCAGAGTCAACTTGCTGAACGTTTGGGAATATTTGCCTCAAAGCAGAAATATACGTAGGAGAACTTGCCTGCCAAATAGTGTCATTATAAACACTTAGTTAATAAAGAGATGGTGAGAGAATTAGTATACGTGAATAACAGAAGAAAATGAATGTTCGCTCACAAAGCAAAAACTTACACACGGATTGCGCTCAAGATAGATGGTAGTGAGATTATCTTTAGAACCCACAACAGCTTCCGCAATGTTATCCAGTGATGTTATTTGGTTGTCATTAAGCCACAAATCTTCTAACCTGTAGGTAGCCAAATACGCAGAATAAGAAAAAGGGAACAAAATTCACATCCAAAAAGAAAAGATGAATAATTAGCTGATGATACTAATTTTCATACTTTGCCAAGTTTTCGATGTCATTTACTTCCGTGAGCTTATTGGACGACACATCCAACACCCGGAGATTGATGAGAGTTGACAATCCTTCCATTTTCGCAATACCATTATGGCTCAAGTACAATTCCTCCAGCGCAACACATTCCTGAATATCATGAAAATAAAAATATACATATATATTCTGAATTAAACATTTCACGTGAAAGTTGAATATGAAGAAAGTATTTATTGAACAATTACAGCATATGAAGTTCATGGTAGCTACCTCAAGTCCAGCCATAGAAGTTAATCGATTACTTTGAAGGCTGAGCTTCTTAATTCCTTTTAGCCCACAAAGGTTAATGGCACGGATACGGTTGCGCCCGAGCCACAGCTCTTGTAATAATGATAAGTTTTGTAGGTTCTCCATTACCTGATAATCAGACTCCGTTCATAAATAGCTAACTCAAACACACCCAACAATTTTGTGGTTTTTTTCAAATTTCAAGCTATCGTTTCTTATGCATGAACAACAAATGATCTATTGAATACTGTAGGAAAGAAATCAGGATTAAACATTTTGCAAGAATCGTATGTCGAGAATATCCAAATTCAGAAATTTAAAGATCAGACATCGCCCTTTACGGGTTCAAATCAGTTAACTTGCTGGTCTATATGAAGTACGGATTATCTGATTCATGATGAGTGAACGAACCTCTAAGAACGCATAAACCCAATAATTCAAGAAAATATGTATTTTAGGTCATAGATTTTTTGAATTTGTATATACTACTGCAATAAAAGAGATAATACAAATTGCTGTTCAAGAAATGGACCGAACCCGTAATTTGTTGGATCCAAGCTCAAGAATTTGCAGCTCATGGAAGTGCTCAATTTCTTCCATCTTCGTCACTTCATTCTTAGATACATAAAGTTCTTTGAGTGCGTTTGAGACCTTGGATAAACCATCAAGTGAAGAAATCTCGTTAAATGAAACATCGAAGACCAGAAGCATTTTGAATATGCTAACATCTGGAATTGTCTTCAGCTGATTATCCCTCAGCACAAGCTCCTGGATACAAACAAAAAGACGTTGGTATTTCGACACTAACTAACAAGTTAAGAGATTATTTGAAACCCTGCACGATATTCCGAAAGCTGCTTGACATTATTACAACCATGCAGACAGAATCTCATAGTAACAGAAAGGAGACGGACAAGCTACAAAAGCAAATCCTGCTAAACATTTTATATTATTTCTAGAAAGTAAATATTGACTCATCCCTTAAGCAGCAACAGATGGATAAGGCAGCACAACAATAATCATATTTGAGTGTTCTAATCATCAAGAAAACATGTTTGTAAGAATCCACGTGCTTAGCTGAACACAACGCACAGCACAGACTTAGAGAAGAACTATACATAATTATTATCTTAGTTTCAAGGTTTTGATTTGTACAATTAACAAAGAAATATCTAATAAAGGTCAATCATACCTGAGGATTTTATTTTGTAACTCAGCATGCTGATATCTAGGAAATAAAAAAAAAGGGTATGATCTTCACAGCCACTTTTGGGATAGTGCATCTTCTCCACCAGCTTATCGATTTTTATTCGGATATAAATTCCCAAACTATTTAAAATGTTCCCAGACAATCTTTGACCATAATGTTCCACAGAGATTCTGACATACTTGGATCATATTACACTTCGCCCCTAACTTTGAAAATAACAAGTGTAATCACCTAGATCAATTAAAATGTTCTACTTCCTCGCACCTTCTCGTGGCTGCATAAATTGGACTATTTCACCAAGAATTATTGTCATGTCCTACCAGTAGCCTAATACGAGGAAACTTTAGCCAATCCGGTATCTTATAATTAAAGAAATTGTTTAATTTACATATCCTTAAGTCCGAAGTCTGTTCGTGAAATAATTCAATATTAATTTTATGGTTATTAATCTGATCATTGTTATGATATATATATATATGTATAT